AATAAAAACTCATCTTTTAACTGTAAAACATGAAAAAAAAAAAAAAATTAGACAAATATACCAGGTTAAACTTAATTTTGTCTTTTTTATCTTTGTTTAGATTTTTTTTTTTTTTTTTTTAATATTTTATAGCTTTTGATACATGTTATCTCTCAATGACTATTAATATTTTTTATTATTTCTTTTGATTTTACGTATATACAAATAGATTTACTTTTATACCTTTTTCAAAATTAAATTAAAAAGCTTATATTGTTAAGTGCTTTTTTGGTCTTTTTAAAAACTAGTGTTATTTTAATTGTTTTCAAAATATGTGTTCTCATTTTGATTTTCTCTCATACACAAATTCCTTTTTTTTCTTTTTAAAATTCAAAGATTCGATGATTTATTTTTTTTTTATAGTTACAAACTCAGTGCATATTAACTTCATAATGCTACGACACCGAAAAAACTGCACCGAAATCGTGTACCGGCCTATGTGTAACATGCCTCTCTTTTTTTTATAATTTTTTTCTAGTGAACGGCCGTCCATCAAATTTAGACGGCCATTCACTCACATGGACGCCCGTCCATAACAGGGACTGGCGTCCCCATTAAAGGACGCCCGTCCATAAATAATATAAAATAAAAAAAAAAAAAAACTTTGGGGACGGCCGTCCATAAATTATGGACGGCCGTCCCTTACGTTTGGACTGGCGTCCATTCCTATGGACGCCCGTTCATACTTTAAAAAAAAAAAAAATGTTTGACGGGCGTCCATTTCTAATGGACGCCCGTCCATTATTTTAGTTTCTACAAATTAAAGAAAAACTTTGGATGGGACGGCGTCCGTAAGGAAGGACGCCCGTCCATTACTTACGTTTTTTGGAAATCTTTCCAGTGATAGCATCTCATGCAGTATCTCTTGCACATCATCAACCAACTTTTTGACGTCCCTGGCCAGTATAGTACGTTGGCATCCTGGTTGAAGTTCTGTAGCTTATCTTATTCCTTCATTGCGGCTGACTTCTCGAAAATCTTAAACTCTTGCCCTCCCTGAAAAAACACAGTGAATGAAGACGAAGAAGTAGACGGGCGAAGTTCTGCACCTTCTTCACTTGCCTCCATGGAAACTTTATTGCATCCATTTTGATTTAACAGGTTAGAATTTCAAACACATTGACTTAGACTTTTAAAACACTACACAAACATCATCATCTTTATCTTATCCTTAATATATTTGTTGAACTGTATCATGGAAAAAGAAGAAAACGAAGACTGGAACCATTACCCAAAAGATGATGATGATGATGAAGATAATTTGTAGAAACTAATAATGGATGAGCGTTCATTAGAAATGGACGCCCGTCCAAACATTTTTTTTTTTTTTTTTTAAGTATGACGGGCGCCATTAGATGGACCCCGTCCAAATGTACGACCCGTCCATAATTTATGGACGGTCGTCCCCAAGTTTTTTTTTTTTTTATTTTCATAATTTATTTATGACGGGCGTCCTTTAAATGGGGACGTCCGTCCCTTGTATATGGACACACCGTCCATACTATGGACGGGCGTCCATGTGAGTAAATGGCCGTCCAAATTTGAGACCGCCGTTCACTAAAAAAAATTATAAAAAAAATGAGAGGCATATTACACATAGGCCGTACACGATTCAGTGCAGTTTTTTCGGTGTCCGTAGCATTATTGTTATAACTTTTATCCCAGAAGTCTGGGGTTTATTGCACTTTGCCTTCCGTTATTTAAAATGACGCGGGAGAGGCATAATTTGAAAACCTTCAGAAACACAAACTCACCCGCTCCACTTGAGCTACTCTTCTTCTTCTTGAGCAATGAACAAAATTCTCATACAAAACAAGTTACAATAATGGAATGGCAAGACATAAATTGGTTGAACAAATTGTGGGTGATCTCTCTTTCACCAATTCATCAACTTTCTCCAAGCTCTTGGACTCATGCCTCCGATCAAAGAGCCTGCGCGACACCCGTCGCATCCACGCTCGTATCATCAAGTCCCATTTCTCCTCCGAAATCTACATCCAAAACAGGCTCATCGATGTGTATGCGAAGTGTGGGCATTTGGACGATGCCCGCAAGGTGTTCGATAAAATGCCCCACAGAAATGTATTCACTTGGAATTCGATTGTGACTGCTTTGCTGAAATGGGGTTTCGTTGATGATGCTTCTAGGATTTTTGGTTCGATGCCTCAGCGTGACCAGTGCTCGTGGAATTCAATGATTTCGGGGTTTGCGCAACATGATAGGTTTGATGAAGCTTTGGAGTATTTTGTTAAGATGCATAGAGAAAATTTTGTGCTTAATGAGTATTCATTTGGTAGTGCTCTTAGCGCGTGTGCGGGGTTGATGGACTTGAAAATGGGTACCCAAATACATGGTTTGTTAGAAAAATCGAGGTATTCGTCAGATATTTATATGGGGTCAGCGCTTGTTGACATGTATGGTAAATGTGGGCGTGTGGGCTGTGCCCAGCTGGTTTTTGATGGGATGAGAGAGAGGAATATGGTTTCTTGGAATAGTCTGATTACTTGTTATGAACAAAATGGGCCGGCAAGTGAAGCTCTTGAAATTTTTGTGAGGATGATGGATTGTGGGATTGAATGGGATGAGGTCACACTTGCTAGTGTTGTTAGTGCTTGTGCAAGCTTAGCGGCTATCAAAGAGGGTCGGCAAATTCATGCAAGCGTTGTGAAGTGTGACAAGTTTAGAGATGATCTTGTTTTGGGAAATGCGTTGGTTGATATGTATGCTAAATGCTGTAAGATTAATGAAGCTAGATATGTTTTTGATATGATGCCAATTAGGAATGTAGTGTCTGAAACTTCCATGGTAAGTGGATATGCGAAGGCATCCACTGTTAAAGCTGCAAGATCAATGTTTACAAAGATGATGGAAAGGAATGTGGTATCTTGGAATGCACTTATAGCAGGATATACACAGAATGGGGAAAACGAAGAGGCACTTGGACTCTTCTGCCTTCTTAAGAGGGAGGCTGTTTGTCCAACCCACTACACATTTGGGAATCTACTAAATGCTTGTGCAAATCTTGCTGATCTGCAACTTGGCAGGCAAGCACACACTCATGTCTTGAAGCATGGATTTCGGTTTCAGTCAGGGGATGAGCCTGATATATTTGTAGGGAATTCTCTCATAGATATGTACTTGAAATGTGGATCAGTTGAAGATGGGTTCCGTATTTTTGAAACTATGGTGGAAAGGGATTGGGTCTCATGGAATGCCATGATAGTAGGGTGTGCACAAAATGGTTATGGTACAGAGGCTCTTCAATTATTCAGCGAAATGTTGGTATCAGGGGAGAGACCTGACCATGTCACCATGATTGGTGTTCTGTGTGCTTGTAGCCATGCGGGGTTGGTTGAAGAAGGACGTAACTACTTTGTCTCAATGACCAAGGAACATGGGTTGGTGCCATTGAAGGATCATTATTCATGCATGGTTGATTTACTTGGTCGAGCTGGTTGCCTTGATGAAGCAAAAGAATTGATAGAGGCAATGCCAATGCAGCCTGATGCTGTTATCTGGGGGTCTTTGCTTGCTGCTTGTAAAGTTCATCGCAACATTAAGTTAGGGGAATATGTGGCAGAGAAACTTTTAGAAATCGATCCCAACAATTCTGGTCCTTATGTGCTTCTCTCGAACATGTATGCTGAGCTTGGAAGATGGGGGGATGTTGTAAGAGTAAGGAAATTGATGAAGAAGCGAGGAGTAATCAAGCAGCCAGGTTGTAGTTGGATCGAAGTCCAGGGTCAAGTTAATATTTTTATGGTGAAAGACAAAAGACATCCTCTGAAAAAAGAAATCTATTTGGTTTTGAAAGTTCTTACAAAACAGATGAAGAGAGTTGGGTATGTCCCAAACACTGGTGATTACGATGCTTCTGGGGAGGAGGACATATCCAAATCAGCATCATATTGCCAAACAAATCTTCCAATTGATGCTGGTGTAGGTTAATTTCACTTTTTTTTTAAAGCTCTTGTTCAAGTACTTAACTCACTTTTACAAAAATATGATCAATTCTTTACTATAAATATAGGAAGAAACAAGAAGAAATAACAACTTTGAGTGACTTCTCTCATAAATGTTATCCTTGAACCATTTTTACTTTATTGTATATCCTAACATTTCTTTTTACGGTCTACCGCAATACCAGTACACAACCATATCCAGAGCTGATACCTTTCCTCGCGGCAATTGTTATTGAATGCAAAAGTTCCAAACAGCTAGCTGCTAAAGTTAAACTTGCCATCACATTCTGATTTCATGAGCAATTCATGTTGGCTAAATTCCAGATAGACTCGGGACCTCAATGTGGAGGTAAAAACCTTGCCCTTAGGCATTGCGTTTTAAAAAAGAAGCCAACATATAATCTGCAGATCGTAGGTCCTACGGACCTGTCCTTGAAAAGGACAAAACACAGCAATGCCACAGGTAAAATGACCTCACTGGATTTTAAACTGGAATAATCTTCCTTGTTATTTGCAAATGCTCCATAATATACTTTTGATTTTGCATAAAGCCAGATTTAGTTTGGCCTACCTGATTTGCTTTTGTACTTGTCTTTTAAATTAGTAGTGAACAGAAACAACATACATGTGCTTGAAGTTCTGCATAATTGCAGTTTGCTAGTTGTACTATATCTTCCATAAACATAAATCATTTTGTAGTGTTCTAAAACCATATTTACCCAACGGATTGTTGGAATCCGCTTTCCGACCTTCGTTTTAATCTGGAATGTGGATTCTCTTTGATCTAAGTTTACTTATGGTTTGAAAACTTAAATCAGGAGAACATCTTGATCTGTTAGCCTCTTTTTTAGCAAGCTGAAATGAAACATGGTAAAATATATGTGGCCTAGAGTAATTTGACAAAGAAGAGGGAGATTGGAGAAGAATTAGAGCATATATCTTTATAGAATTTGTTTCTTTTCTTTATTTGGCATTGATAATACAATGTTTGGTAGATAATTTCTTTATGTGCTTCTTTCGATGCTATCTTAAGTAAATTCCAAAAACATGTGAACAATCCTGTTAACACTCGTGAGAGATAGAAAGAGAGAATAATAATAATAAAAAAAAAAAAAAAAAAAAAAAAAAAAGGAGAGAGGAGTTTCATCATATTCTTTAAACTATAGCTTCCTTTAGACTTCTCTGAGAGCATCTGAACCTGAGAATTACATAAGAGATGAACCTGTAAACCAAGATGAAACACACCATTATCACCAAATTCCTCCAGCTACTCTCTTTTTCATATCCTGCTTCTTTCAGAACATCTTCCCCAGTCAACATACATCTCCCGAAAATATACTGCAAGCACTTCCTTGAAGTAGAGAACTCGTTTATTAAAAACTCTTCAAATGGATACTTAAACAGTGATATATAATGCATGAAAATCCAATAACTTGGGATGCCATGGTTTGATATGAAGTAACCGGAGAACAGAAAGAAAGATCCCATGACGCCGGAAATCACTGAGTTTCCGACGATGAAATTAGGGACTAAAGCACTGCAGCACACCACAACTGAATTTGCTGTGTAGAGAACCAACCAGATTAGTAATAAGAAGTGCATAAAAGCCATGAAATTAGGGTTTAGCCCCACAAGCCAGTATAGAGGAATTGAGAATAATATGGCTAGGATGAGTAGAAATGGCAAGTAAACTAGTCCGTTGGCTATGGCATATGATGAAATTCTGTAGCTTCCACAGGATGTCTCCTTCATCAAAATATCCCTCTCTTGCAGAAACACTGGTAGAGCTTCGGTTGTGCAGGATAACAAAAATGTCAATATGAATGCAAAGAGACCTACCTTTTCTTGAGCTCCGAGTAAATCATCTTTAACATTATGAAATATTGATCCCAAAACAAACCCAGAAATCAGCATTTGAATTGTTCGGCAGGCGAATAACTCCCTGGTTCGAAAAATGTTTTTCGAGAACCTGTGAGTGAGAATTATAGTCTCTTGAAATCTTGAATTTGCGAAATCTCTAGGAATATCAATTCCAACATTAATGATAGTTTCCTCATCGGCAACTTTTGATTGTTGAAAAAGTTGTTGCAGAGTGAACTTTCCACTTCTACTCTCCCCCTCTTCCCCTTTCTTTAGCTGTGGTGTTGACACTATTTGTGGCTGCATTTCTTGCAGCATTTTTCTCTGTTCCTGAATCAATTCAATTGACTCTATTGCATATTCAACAACATTGACATGAAGAGGAAGCTGCAATCCCATTGTTCTCAAACATACACCGAGCTGAGCCACCGTGCCATGATGCAAAACCGAGCCATTCGCCAGCATAAGTATTGAATTAAACATCTTTACAATGCGAAAACCAGGCTGATGAATACTCAAAATTATGGTCCTCCCTCTAGTTTCTGCCATCACTTTCAGCATGTCTATAATCTGCAGGGCACTGGTGCTGTCAAGACCTGAAGTTGGCTCATCAAGAATCAACACTCTGGGGTCATGAATCACATCAACTCCAATCGAAACCCGTCGTCTTTCACCACCAGAAATCCCCCGAACCCTGTCATCACCAACTCTAGCCGTGGCCACAGGCCCCAGGCCAAGCTCCTGAATGAGAGACTTAACTCTAGACCTCAGCTCAGGTTCCGGGAGCCTCAACCGCAGCTTGGCGCTAAACATGAGCGTTTCTTCCACTGTAAGGAGAGGAAATAGAGTGTCCTTTTGAGTAACATACCCAGAAATCTTCTTGAACAGAGGCTTGTCAATGGGATTATCATTCACCAAAATGGAACCACTATGAGGAGTGAGTTTTCCCGCAAGAATCTCAAGTAAAGAAGACTTTCCAGCGCCACTTGGACCGACAATCGCGAGGAGTTCCCACGGTTTGGCCTTGCAGTTTATGTTCCTCAGAACATGCCTGATTCGAGGATTTGTTGCAGCTGCAGCTGCTTCTTCAAGCTTGGAAGGAGAAGTTTCAGGTCCATGATCACAGTCATTTAGCTTGTTTTTTGTGAAGATTTTAAAAGGGTTTTCTCTCTTTTGTGTGTAGATGTTGAAGTTAATCCCTATAGCTTCAATTTCACAGCCTTGTTTCTTCATTGAGGAAATCTTGCTCTCTCTTTTTGTGTGTTCAAGTTTGTAAAGCTAGACTTATTATTTCTTGTGTTTGTGTGCATGTAATGGTCAAATAAGAATAAGAAAATGAATGAAATCGAGTGTGTGGCCAGTTGTTTTGTTTAATAATAATGGAAGTTGAAATGTTGAATCTGTGTGGTGTGCACTTGAATTAACAGTAATGGATCGGTATTATATTGACATGTAAGTCCTCGTATATGTTACTTGGTTGTTCACGTGATATTGTTCTTGCTATTCAATTCATATACATATATTATTATTATTTTTTTTTTTCTCCCTATTTCTGCCATGGAAATTTGCATACTTTCACGTGGAGTTTGTTGTTGTAAAGTTTATGTGGCTCGCTGGATTTCATAAGTTTTTTTTGAAAAAGCCAACACAAATTGATGATCATATCTTTATTATTATTTTAGTCTGCATGAATGAATTTACTTCTATCTTTCACGCAAATGTTCTATACTTAAAATACGGATTTCATAAAAATATCTTGTATCCAAAACATGTCTTCTTAGATAAAAACACTCAGACATATAAACTTAACGCCTTTTATTTTTTTTTAATGATAATCAGGGTGTTTGGATTTGTTTGTGCTCACTTTAATTAGTTTTTTAAGACCCTGAGACTATTGGTCAAGTAAAAACTCTAATAAAAAACACTATTAGTAGTGTTAGAACTAGAACCTATCTTTGTTTGTTAAAGATGTAAAATGTGACAATAACACATCAACTTATTATATATTTACTTTCTCAATTGTATCGCATTAAATATGGACGTTTGCTTTTATTCTTATTACCAACTAATTTCATCAATATAAGTTGTTAGATGAGCGTTGGTTTTTTAATTAACAAAACAACTGATTATTTACGTATCAATAGCAGGTAAGAATAATACAATAGAGANCAATAACACATCAACTTATTATATATTTACTTTCTCAATTGTATCTCATTAAATATGGACGTTTGCTTTTATTCTTATTACCAACTAATTTCATCAATATAAGTTGTTAGATGAGCGTTGGTTTTTTAATTAACAAAACAACTGATTATTTACGTATCAATAGCAGGTAAGAATAATAAAATAGAGATATTTTGCAAAATTCAAATGGGTTTTATAAGAGTGAAAATGCGTTTTGACATAATATCAAAAAATTGTTTTAAGATAAAAAAACTATAAAAACGACTTTCAATTGTTTTTTAATTTTTACTAGTTTTAAGGATTGTATCCAAAAAATGTTTTTGAAAACATTTCAACTTATTTCAACCAAACTTATTTTTATAAGATTTTTTGTATTCCTTTTTTCGGAAACAAAAAATTACATTTAAATTATATATCGAACAAGTCGATGAAATTGTTAATTAATAATTCAAGGAAACAAGTTAGTAGAGCCTCATGATTTGGATTTATGGATACAGGGCCATGGAGAATTGTCCCAAAGAGAAGCAAGTGGTCCCTAATATCCTCTTATTTGAGGTTTCAAACTCAGCAAATCTTTGTAATTTTATGTACTACTCTTCCATCATTTTCGTCACTTTCACTTTTTTTAAAACCCTACCTATCTCATCTCCATGCCAAAAAATAATGCAACAAATTATAATCTAATTTCCATACACAGACACCTTGAAGCGATTGTGACATTCTAATCCCAGAAAAATATAACAATCAATATCGATCTAACAACATTATTAGATTGGTATGAACATTTTTGAAATATGTAACATCAATCAAAACAAAGTTAGTAGTCAATATTGATTTAGAAATATTAAGTAAGGTAACAATGATCCTAAGTTGGTCATTCGTCAAGTCAGCCTAAGGTTAAAATACATCGTTGACAAATAAGAGTTTGAATCAGTTTATAAATTTGAAGTCTCATCAACTAAATAAACATGTTTAAGGTGAAGGACGATTATGTGAAACTCAATTACAAATCCGTACGGTGGAGTTAGATCCAAAGCAGACTAATTAATTACTTGGTTTGTATAAATATCAATCATTGTCTTTATAAATGTAGAAAATTCATGGACTAACTTAGAATTTAATATTAGAAGAGACAAGTCCAATATAAAAAAATTAAAATTTTTAATAAAACAAATAAAAGCTAAAAATCAAGAAGTTTTTATACATATGAGTGGGGTTATGTTAAGGTGAGAGAGTTAAACCAAAAATACTAAAGGTAATTCAAGAGGGGTCACCATTAAGTTCGTCCCTAGTAGAAATCAAAGCCAACAACCAGTCACTAACTTTTGGTTCTACTCATTCAAAATTTTGGGAAATCGAATAGTCACTAACCTTTGGTACTCGACCCACACGTTAAAAACTTTAAGACATGGGTCAATCACTAACATTCTTTATTCAACACATTAAACTTTACTCCGCATGTTGAAAACTATGGGACATAGAAACTTAATAATCTATGTATATTGTTACACTATCAATCCATAATTGATGAATAGAAGGGTACAAGGGAAGATGAAAATAATGACAAAGGGGTTGAATCTTTTGTGTGGTTGAGAGCAAAAGAGAGGGATCTTTTATCGATTGATGGCTGAATTTTACTCTCTTTTAAAGAGATTATTGAACTTGTCGTCTACATGAATCTTGTTTCTGAAATTGGGAGAGTTAATTTTGTTTGGATATGTTAGTTATTTAGTGAGACAATTAATGTAGCACCCGTGAAGTTTTATTGTCCTTTGTGAGGCTCAATCACTTGTTCCCAACTCATTTTTTTTCATCCATTTTGCTTTACTTCACACCCTTAACTAAAACTAAGCCCGTGAACCCAATCTTTCAATTATTGAATTATTTGACATCACATCGCCATCAATTCCAAAACAATGAAAAAAAAAATAAATAATTAAATTGGTTTGTTATTTTGTGTTTAATTATTTTAGGAATTAATCATGTTACAAGATGAATCGATAGAGATCATATATGATGAATATCTCACAATATAAGAATGCAAATTTATATTTAAACCTCCTATGAAAAAAAATATAAAATATAAGAAATATTTTATATTATAATTTGTAAAGTCGGATTTTATAATTTCAATTTTATCCATTTGGGTAATACTACAATACTAATTTAGTGTTTATGTAAACGATAACTTGTAGTTGGTGATAAAAATATTCGTTAGGTAGTATCAATCGATTAAGATTGAAAGATAAAAATTTTATAGTCAACAATGTGAGAAAATTTTACTTCTTAACATTAGTCGGGGTCAAGTAACAATTTCCCTTGGAGAAATAGGTTATATGTTTGTATATATAGTAATTATTTAACCAATTTAGGAGGCATTTCCCAATAGGAAAAGAGTGGGATGATGAAGACTCTTGTTTGCCAATTTGTCAACCATGTCACTATGCAGGAAAAATAAAAACTAAAACTTTGAGTCATGACAAAAATTGGCATATGTAATATGCACACTCTCATATGAAAAGTTTAAATCAAAATTTTTAAAACAATTTCTATGGTCCCAAAGTGAGGTGATAGAGGTGCATATTATAAGAGAAAATCACTAACAACTAATAATCCAAGTTCTTCAATATGAATCCAGGAACAAATAGTACAGAAAATATTATGATTCTTCTCCCTTCCAATAATATTATATATATGAAACACATATATTATACTATATGCCGAGACAAATAAAACTTGACCCTTAGTTATATATTAAGTGATATTATTTATGGCCTATAGAAAGAAACTAATGGCTAAGCCTAAGTGCTACTATAAAAAGGAAAATTCAACTGGATCATCTTCTTAATTTCTTAGCTGTTATCAACTAAATTCAGTATGGTTTTGTCTTGTAATTAAGGTGTCGTTATTAGCTGAATATGACCTAAACAGTTGTGGATTATCAGTGGTGTGAGAGCTAATTAAGTATGCATTTAATACTAAGTTTTTGTCTTTAATTAGGTTTAACGTTTTGTTAATTACAGATCAAACGCAATTGAAAGGTCTTTTAACACTTATTAATTACTGTTATATTATAATCTAGCCAGCAAAGAGAAGCCAGACAATGAATATAAAATCCCTTTGGCTTATAGATTTATTATCGGAAATCTTTTTTTTTTTTATTTATTTTTTTTTATTTAGAACAAAATTTAATTATTTAAGTACCTAAGAACCCTAAATAACACTTGATGCTTCCAAAATATACTTTCCCAAAATGAATACTAATACATTGAAAATTTTCAGATATCAGAAACCCAAATTATAAATTTTATTTTGTTTTCCATTTTTTTTTTTCATATATATAAACAGACAAAACTGTCTTCCAAAACCCTAGATGACAGATCGAAACACCCAATAAGATAAGGAAGAAGAAGATAATTACGAAACCACACACAACTAGCTCTTCTCAAACATGAACAGATATTTACCCAAAAATAAAAGTAAATAAAGTAATCAAGAAACCATGTTCTCTGTCATCTATAAAACCAAGAAAAATACTGTGTAATCTCTTCTAGCACTAAATTAAATTATAAAGAAAATAAAAACCACCTTGTCAAATCTTCAACTTCTAGCTAAAACACAATCGTACACAGCTCTGTACTCCCTTTATTTCTCTCAGGCATTAAATTATTACGGCTGCTACTGCTACGGATACAGTTGTTCACGAGATCACTTCACTTGACTCCAATAGAAATAAATCAAAGTTGACAATCATGGAGAAACTACTGTTGGACCTTGTGATCCTTTTTCCCATTTGATATTTAAGTTCTTATTTTATCGCTAGTTATATTATTATTTCTCATGCATCCGTGATATTTGGTTGTAGAATTAAAAGATCAAAAAAAGAGAAGAAGATGAAGTTCATAATGCTTATTTGGGTAAACCACATTCAATCTTGGAAATCAAATGAATGAAGCTTTTCCCAAGATGTTGGTTGGACTTTGGCCATTTCTTCCCTCTCTCTCCTCATGATTTCAGGTTCCACATATAATTGAAGTTGAAGAGGATAACAAGGTCCTTAAAGTTCATACATGTTATGTGCATCTAATAAATCATTATGTACATGTAAATATATAATATAAATATGGAATAATAGATCTGGAGATTTATATGAGAAA